GTAGAAATCAAAAATTGCAAAAAATATACAGGGTGCTATTTGAAATAAAAAAGTTAGAGTCACTTCCGGTCAAACCGGACGTGTCTTTCAATTTTTGTTTTTCCCAGTTGAAGCTTCCTTGAACGAATTGAAGATCATGAAATTTTCAAATTTTCATTTTTTGAAATGGCTGAGATAATTTATAGGTATACTGGGACACCCGGTATAGAGAAAAATATCAAATTTTTACTTAGCTTTGGACGTTTCGGGAACGAATCTGCTCCCGTTTTCAACATAAAAAATTGATTTTTTGTATCACAAATTCGTATTTGTCCTGACAATTTTCAGTTCTCAGTGACAATAATTTGTGACGTTGGCAATCAAATGCGTTACAGGATGGTTTCATGAATTGATCTTGAATTTACCATTTTCATTTTCAGATTTCAATAGTGAATGCCATATTCTATCTATATAAACTGAACAGGAAGCAATGCTATTGTCTCCGTTCAGAAGAATTCAAGCAGATTCCTTGATTTTTCCCTTCTGGTTGTTATCTTCCTTTTCAATGATTTTAATATCATTCCACTTTGCCATATGTTGTCCATCTACAGATTCATTCCCAAAACGTCCAAAGCTAAGTAAAAATTTGATATTTTTCAATATACCTTTATTTCTCTTTTCCGAACTTTTTTCAAAACAAATTGTGACTGACAAGCTAGTAAATTTTTCTTTTAGGCTCTCTGATAGTGAAATTCTTTAAACGCAGTGACATTTTGGTGCAAATCATCTGAGTTGTCCTTACTACACGTATATTGAAATAATATTCATATTTTCATTTCATAGAAACGAGGGAAAAATCCCAAAAAATCTGGAATAATGAATGTACCACCTGAGGAATCACGAAAAACATAGGAAATCGAAAGAAAATTGAAAACAAAACAAAAATCGAGATATGAAACAACACATATCTAGAATCACAAACAGAAAAATTCAAAGACCAAGGAATAGAAAAATTCAACTGAAACATATTGAGAACAAAGATACACAATGAGAAATAAGAAATCCAAAATAGCAAATCGAAATATATCAAATGACAATTGAAAAAATATTTTCAAAAAGTTGAGAAATAAAAAATTAGAAATGAAAAAGAACTAAAAGAAAATGCAATTTCAGTCTGATTAATCTGTTTCTTACCTGCAGTACCGCCACTGGTGCAGCTTCTAGTCGCTGCTGACGCTGTTCCCGTTGCTGTTGCGGCGAGTTGCGCAACAGGAACTGCTGGAAACGAGCCTGTTGCAGAATCACAGGCAGCTCGTAGTGATGGAAAAAGTAGATCATCGAGTGCTACAACAAAAAAAACAGTACAAAAACTTGAACAATTAAAAAACAAAAATAAATCACTCCCACACATGTAGAATTGGATTATATCCTCCCAAAATGTACGCAATGAAATAGTTTCTTCGTCTTTGAGTGCTCGAATGCCGAATCATGTTTGAATTGTACCCAGGTAACGCTTAAGCACCATCATACCGGTTTCGGCTTTTATTCACTCAGAGGCAGAAACACTATCCCACGACGTGATAGGACCTTGACTACATCTTAAAGAGCGGTGAGGAAAAGTGATAATTCTTGATGACATTTCATCAAAACACTTTATTTAGGAGTTAATGATCTTGATTCTTGAGCAAACTTGAAAAGATGCAGACTGGCCCTCCAGCACTTGCCACAGAAATTGAACTTGCTGTTGAAGCAAAATGATCTTGCTCCTTAGGCAAGAGTATGTTGCTTGTCAAGCAAGATGATATTGATTCATAGGAAAGATGATATTGCTTCTTCATGATGTTGCCTCCGTATGTATGAGCCCGCACTTACTTTCATCTATATAATATTTCGATTCTTGCTATATCTGCTACCTATCTCATGATATAATAATAATGGATTATTTTTGACGTGGATAATCTCACCTCATCTATAATTTCCTAAATCGATGGCACTTTCAATTTCGTATTTATTGGTATATTATTGGAAAAATACAAGTTTGCTTTTTTCTGATATCAGTGTCAATATAGCATATCTGTTTGACATATTAATTGAGTTCGACAGCAGTTTGACAAATCGGATTGTCAAATTTCAAAATAGCAAGGAACTTACAGGATGATTGTGAAGTTCCAGTGATTATTCTTCTAAATTCAAAATATTCCATCATGTTGAGAACACTCAAACCTAGTACGTTATGCTTTGTAAAGATGACAGTTTTTCGCATTTCAGCTTATAGCTCTTCGAATTCGGATTGCTCACACTTATACTCATAATAACCGAACCGAAAGTCATCGTTATCTGAATTCTGACTTCCGCATGAAAAGTAGTACCACATATTTCGAAGCTGCCAGATTTGTAACTTGTAATTACCTTATGAGATTCAATATAACCAATGACAACAGTATCCACATTCAAATCAGAAGACAATAGTTCGATCTGGTCCCTAATAATCACTTATTGAATACTTATATGCTTGGAAAATGCTTCAGTACAAATGCAAATGTCCTAGTATTCCTAATAATGATCGAGATATCATTTAATCCCAAATTATTTTGTGGCACCGGCAACAGTGTAATGCCTAAGTTCCCAGAAATACAAAAAAGGAGAAGAAGTCAAAACATTGTCAACCTAACTTCCTGACGTTAATATCGGCTGTCACCTTCATCGTCATCGTCATCGTGTTTGTTCGTTTGTTCTTTGTTTGTACAAGATAGTACATAATATATTGAAATAATACTCATATTGATGACTACCTAAAGGCTGTATGATAAACGATCTCCAGAATCGTAAAAAATACGATGTCCCTTCTCTGAGAGAGAGAGATAATCGAAATTTCAAATATCCATTTCAAACCACTCGAAAATTCACGTGACCATTTTGTATCATCATCGAGAGAAATCTCTAAAATGTGACACTGATGAAGTGGGCATATACAGCAACTTCACAAGACAACTGTTATGCGATATTTTTCCCCCGTCGACGCAAAGAAATATGAAAGAAAGAAAGAAAAAAAGCCAAAAAGAAGAATCCCATTCCGAGAAACATAAGTGGGGATTAAAAGTCAGAGGCAAAGAGAGAGCGGCGTGGTGTGTCTTTCCCGGGGGACTCAGTCCCGAGCTTTCCTCAAGGGCGGTCCTGCATGGGGATAAAGGGGGTAATTACCCTCCCCAGAGTATAACAACATATCGATTTTTCAAATTCTATTCGTAAAAAAAATTGTGTATATGATCCGCTCCAGTTCGCAAATTTTAAAAAACAATGTAGCAATGGCAGTAGACAGCTATCGCAATTTTGGTATTGAGGTAATTGGTATTGCTATTTGCTGGTGCAATGGGGAAGATCACTGAGAGAAGAAATCCGTGCAAACCTCTTTCAATCGACGAATCATGATTTACGTTTGATGTACAATCAATATTATGAGTTAAAGTTGAAGGGAATCGAATCTATATCGTTTTGAAATCAGCATATTTTATTCGATATTTCAAACAGCCAAATATGATGGTGGAGTCGTGACGTATTAGTCCCGAACTGTGGCTATCTCTCTCTGATACCTCGTCATTCTGCAGTGTTGCAGTGTGATTGGTCAGTTCAAGGACAATAGGCGTGTTGGGAATAAGACGTCGCACCAGTTACGCCAATGAATTGATAAAATTTCAAATGGCGCAGGAATTGTGTATTTTGAAATGGACCTATTCTAATTTATTATTTTCATCGTCTTAGCATGAATGACGAAATTCAAAATTAATTCGCTGGTAGTTTTTCAGTTTAGAGTTCACGATAATGTCATTTTAAAAAATCAGTGGTCTCCCCCAATGGAAATGCTGGATTTACAGTATTTCATGCATTATTTATGAATCATTATAAGCCAAATGAACTCATAACTTATAATGAGAAGTAAAACAAGTTTTATTTTTACTGGAAGACAATGCAAGCTGGTCATTCCGATTCAGTATAAAATAGCCTGCCCTGCATATTATTTTTACCAGAAAGATGAATTGCATTAATCAATAAAAAAGAATAAAGAGCGAAATATATATGCTACGCTCAATAGCCAATTTCGGGCAAATCCCGACAACAAAACGAAAGACTAGTTTTGAGCAAAGAATATTTCCTAAACCCAACATTCTCACAGTATACGGTTACTGAGCATAACAAATTGAGTAGACCCATTTTTGAGCAATTCAAAATGTACAAAATCAGTTATGTACATTTATGAATAAATTTGGATATGTTATTTGAATATATTTCATTCAGATACTGACAAATACAACAACAAATTAATATATTTTTTGAGAAGGAGGTTCATTAAGGCCGAGTTAGGTTAGATTATTCAAAAAAAGTAGTCTCCTTTCTCAGGCAGAAGGGATATTTTCCTTTCACATATAACAGAACATGCAGTATCTTGGTCGGATAATTTGGTCGGTCAGACCGGGTTTGGGAGGCTGTAAAACAAGCCGAACTATAGCTGGTCATTCAAATTGCTCGAAACCAGTTCTACTTCAAGTAATTTAGTATCACCACTATCAGGTATAAGAATAAGAAATTAAAAGTTAATTTTTGCAAGAATCAATATAATGATGAAACATATTAATGAAATGCTGCCGTTATTGCTGGAACGCGTTAATTTCAAGATGGTCCAGATCCTAAATCATCTGTAGTCTAAGAGGTAGAAAGATAGAAGAAAGGCTCTCCCACTTAGATTCATCATCACGGCTATAAAAGACAATGTATGGCGTTTCGGGGGATCTTTGTCGGGATAGCTTCTCATACGAAGTTCTTGATACAGAGCCATCATTGAACTGATACCAGTCATTCTTGTCTTCGGAGATGGTGTAATAGTGGCCGCTATCGACACTTGTCGTCAAGACATAGGGACTGTTGCATCTTGATACTCTGGTGCGAGAAAGGATCGTACAAGAAGAGCTTCCATGATCTTGGATATGTGTTCTCTGTCGGTCAATCGACTGTATATATTCGTAGTATCATTGGTTATCTTCGGTCAATTTCTCCGGCTCAAAGAAGTAGTCCCGCAGCGACTGCACGGTCTGGTTTTCAGAGTAGTTGGTGTTGGGGAAGGACAGTTGCAGCTCTCTAAATAGATCGACACGATCGCTCTCCGTTCCACAAACCAAACATCGTGAAACAGTCAACATCTTGCTGTTGAAAAAAGTTTGCACCAGCGTTGTGAAAGCTTCTCCTTTCTCTTCAGAGAAATTACAAAAAAAGTTGAAGGCATTCTCTTGATCTTGTAGTTTGTTGAGTAAGAAGCCCAAAAACTCAGAGCTGTCATGCTGATGACAATTCTGAAATTTCTAAAGGAGAAAGTGAAACCTTCTTTGAGAATTGCAACAAAACGAAGAGTTCTTGTATCTTGAGAAATAGTTCAGAAAAGTCTTTGTTGTATAAAATTACTTCATTTCAGAAAGATTTCGTCATGGAACAAGCTCAATAACCGCATACAATTGAATTTTCGGGTTTAGGAAATATTTGTTGCTCAAAAGTCTCAAAACTATTGATTGTAACATAAACATCACAAAAATGACTATTTCTTCCCTCCCTAGAAATTCACTCTAGGACCGCCTTTGGCTTTCTTTTCCGGTCGCCGAATTCTTGCGACTCCCTCTTATTTATTTGCCAGTTTAATTTATTTCTCATTTTTCCGGATTACTCGGCCGGTAGGAATTTTCGCTATGAAACGCGATCGCATAATGTCGTTTCCGCCCGTTCACTTCGTCCTGCTGATGCTTGCGGGCGTGCCATTCGCCGTTTGGCGGAGGATTTTTTTTTCACTTGTTAGGCACAGTGCCCGGATTTCTGCGGCACTTTTTCCACGGCACACACATTGGGGCGGTTGATAATCGAGAGATGAGTTTTTCTCAAACAATTGAAAATTCGCATGCTTCGCATGTTTCGATAATTCTCATTTTGTTTATGGTTTCGCATTACAATCATCAGCATGCGATGGATTTTCTTTCCGAACGTTATTTATATCAAGATTTATCATCTGCATATTACGGATATACAGTGTCATTCATAAAGTCGGCATCATATGGGAAAAACTTTTATTAATGACTTATTTTGGAATTCGAGTTGGACGTTAAGTTTTGCTTCAAAAAAGATGAAGAATGGCCTACTCAATCAGGGTCACGTGACTTACATGTCAAAAGTGACATTTTTTCAAATTAATCGCTGGAAGTAGGCTTATTTGTTCGAATATCGAAAAAGTTCACTTGGAAAAGTTGTTTCTATTTCAATTTTACACATGCTTCTCGAATTTGATCTTTCTATTGCAACTTTTAGATTTTGATTTTTTTTTAATTTTTCGAAATTTCTGTAATATTTGGAGAATTGTTAATTCCACGAAACTACTTCATACCAGTAGCTTTTTCATGCTACTTACTTTCAATTACTTATTATCACTGATTATGGACAGAAATATGATTTTCTTCAGAAAATGATAATACCCGCTTCCAAATTCTGTTATGTTTGATGCAAAGTTGATATATCGTCAAGCATTTAGAAACAAAATTCATTTAAACTGATCTTTTCAGTACTGGAAAAATAAATTCAAATGAATTTCGTTTCTAAATGCTCGATTCAAATATAACAGAATTTTGATGTTATGTTTGCATCAAACATAACAGAATTTTGAAGCGGAGATCATCATTTTCTGAAGAAAATCATATTTTTGTCGATAATTAGTGATAATTAGTAATTGACAGTTAGTAGCATGATGAAACTACTGGTATGAAGTAGTTTTATCGAATTAACAATTTTTTTAATATTACTTACAGAAATTTCGAAAATTTTAAAAAAATATCGAAATCTAAAAAATGTAATAGAAATATAAAATCCGAGTCACATATGTGAAATTCAAAGAGAAACAACTTTTTCAAGTAAACTTTTTCGATATTCGAACAAATAAGCCTACTTTCAGCGATTAATTTGAAAAAATGTCACTTTTGACATGTAGCGAAAGTCACGTGACCCCGTTTGAGTAGGCCACGTATCCAAACCGATGTGTCAAACGTCTCGACAAAACTCCTCCTGAAGATGCTAACATAGTTAGCAAAACACGAGTTCAAAACAGCAACATTTTTGTAAAGGAACTGGGCTACAATTCATATTCTGAATAAAATCAAAATGTCGGCGATCTCACTGACTTTTGATTGGAATTTCCATGACGTTGCGGGCAAAATTATAATTGTGTATAATGTAGCCAAAGAAAAAAAAAGATTCAGTAATGCTGCTGCCATAGTAATATGGGAAAACAAGCTCGTTATAGAGTACACTGAAAGTTTTGTCATTGTTAAAAAGTAAGAGAATATATACGTTTCCAACAAACAGGTAATTATTATTTCCCTCCAAAGTTGAAAAAAAATTTAAACAGTTAGGTACGTGAAAAAAGGGAATGTTCTTGACACCTTCACCGTTTTAATAAACGTAATAAAATTGCAGTTGACATGAAACAACTGCTTTGATGCGATTCCCCAAACCGTTAGTTAGCCGAATTAAAAGAATGAAATGCTCAACTTTTGTGAAAAATTAGGAGTATCTCCGATTGCATGGAGCTAATATATTAGTAAGCAAACTATAAATTCATACAGGAAGTAAGGTATAACTTATTTCAAATGGAACACTCTGTACCTGATATAGGAAGTACCAGCACGGAAAAAAAAAATCGTTGAATCAGGCAACATTTACTTCAATTAAGCCAATATAGGTGTCATATATACGCACGACAAAATTTAATCTTGAAATGAGTAAAATTATATCTTGTTTCAGAGCCAATTTGAATTTTGAATCACGTAATATGTCTTGGATGAATTCTGGACCTGATTCAATGAATTATTGTTCTTGAAGATGTATTGAATTGGATCAAATATTTAATTTGCTTGATTCAAATCAGTCATCTCGCTCAGAAAATCTGAGAACCGTACAACCATCCCTGAGAAATTTCTGAAAAAAAAAACTCAGGATGTGAGGGTGGTTTCAACCCTCCAACAATTTTTTATGGATATTCTCTGATTACCGAAAGGAGAGTATTCTTCTAAAATGCACTTTTGTCAAATTTCATCCAATTTTTCTCACTCATTTTTGAACATCGTACAAAAATGTGTTTTTCTATGTGAACTCGTCTCACGGACAAACGGTACATTTTGTTAGGGTGATTCAAAATTCGTCTCAAATATTTTAAGGACGTTGAGACCGAATCTCGGGGTCGGGTTGTTGTGGGCAAAAATTATACAATCTGTCCCAGTCAAAACTTTATTCCGGTCGCCACGAGGTTATTGGATGGCACTACAAATTCAACACCAAGGATAAAAACGTAGGAATATGAAATATACCCGAAAAAAATAGTGAATGAATGGATCATTATTCATTCCATTGAATTCAATCAAACAAATCTACTCACAAATTCAACACCAGGTATACTTTGTATTTACTTTAGCAAAAGTAACTTTTAGGATTCACCAAAAGGTTGCAGTGGCTGTAGCTTGGAGGAGGTGGATTTTAGGATACATGTTTACATGAAAAAAATGTCTCATTTTGATCCCCAGAATATGTCCTTGGAATATTTACATGGAACTTTGAATCACCCTGTATAAATAAATTGGGCCCAATCAACTTATTTTGACCTGTATTACACGTGGTAGCTCTGTGTCCCAGCAGTTTTGGGACACCCTGTATGATTGGCAGTACAAAGAAGTTGTTCGCGACTTTTTCGTTAACAATTATAAAATTACAAGTATTTTCAGACAATATTATAACTTACACCTATATCAACTAGGTTTTCATTCAAAACGACCAGGGCCTTATTCACTGATTTGCTTTCCCGTCGTCTTTGAAATTCGATTTCCCCCAAATATTTTTATGCTCGTTCCAAGGAAATTCGACAGTAGTTGCGAGGATCGTCATGTAATATACATTATGCCATATATATCGATAACGAATTCTGGCCCCTTTTCTCCGAGAACATCCAATATTCCGGAACACTCTCAAAGGCGGCCGAAGGAAAAAATCCGGACCCGAGAGGCGAGATATATATATATATATATATATATATATATATATATATATATATATATAAAACAGATTTTCCGAATTCCAGTTTCACGCCGAAAAACAATATCGGCATCTAGCCAGTGACGATCACGTCAGAATCAGACGTTCCTGAATAACAAACGCGCAGCGGGAAAATCGCCCTATCGGACAGCAGCGGACAGATTTGGAAATAAGAAAATTGGAAAACGTGTGCGCGTGACGTAGGAACCGGAGAAATAGCGAAACAACAACAGGAAAACAACGAAACAGGCGAATCTCAATTTGCATTCGATAAGAGAAAAAATGGCATTTTACCAATATACAAATAAATTGGATAATCGTTCAACGCTGTCAGTGAAAATCTTGCTGAAATATCAGTAATTCGCATATTTCCGCATGCACATTCCAATTCTCACATATATGGCAGCAATCTATTGAAAAATATGGTGAAACCTCAGCCTTGGCACTTGATATTTCCAAGGCATTCGATTCTGGTACCACGTACTCCTCGCCAAGCTTCCATCTTATGGCTTGCCTTCCCAGCTATGTTCTCTGCTAGCTAGTTTTCTCTCAAACAGCCATGTAGTGGTCGACGGAGTTTCATCTGACTCTATTATCATGAATACTGTTGTTCCGCAAGGATCAATTCTAACACCAACACTATTCCTACTCCATAAAAACGATTTGTTGGAAGCAACTTCATGTCCAGTATACAGCTTCGCGGATGATAGTACCCTCCATACTGCCTCCTCTTCCAAGGCTCCAAAACCAGCCAGGCGAATCAGAAACAAACGAGGGAGAAATGTTGACAACATAAATATAGACTTGGCAACAATTCTCGAATGGGGATCCAATAACTTAGTAGATTTCAATGCAAACAAAACACAAGCATGCCATTTCTCTAGAAAAGCCGATCTCACTGTGCCCAACATAAGCATGTCAGAAGTAACCATACCTTTGAAGACATCCATTTCGATGCTTTGTATTTCTATCAGCAATAACCTTACTTGGGAAAATCACGTGAGATCAATTGCTATAAGTGCATCCCAAAAACTTGGTTTTCTGTTTCGGGCCAGGAGCTATTTCACTTCCAGTCAGTCCTGGAATACTATTCCCATATTTGGAGTGCAGCACCCAAACATACCCTGAAACTGTTGGATTCTGTCCAAAAAACAGCAATTCGTCTCGTGGGTGATGCCTCGCTCACAAACTCACTCACTTCTCTGAAATACCGTAGAAAAGTTGG